GTCAGCTTGATAGCTCTCCTGCACTCACACCACCAGGGTGAGCCATCCTAGGTAGCTCACCCAATGCCACAGCTGGCAAGGGACAGAAATAGCTCTCTTGCTTTCACACACTTGGGGCTGGCTCACCTGCACCCATGCCACCAGAGCCAGTTCCACTGTGCTGCCCAGTTGAGATGCTGTACCTTCTCTCCCAGGTGGTGAGGGGCAGGGCCAGCTCTGCAAAGCCCTTATACATTAGCATGGTCCCAGGCAACAGCTCAGACCATGTCTGCCTGGCCTTTAACAGTAATATGAGCCACGGACATCAACACAGGCCCCTGCTGCCGCATGACCACAGACCCAGACATGGCCCTCAGAGGTAGCATGAGGAAAGACTTTAACATGGCCTCAAGTAGCAGGGCAGACTACTCACATCAGGAAATTTCTCTCCACCCCCATGTCTCCAGTTCCACCTCTCTTCATGGTGTTCAAACCGTTGTGCTTCCCTTTCTCTCGCATCTCTCCACCACATGCTTGCACATTGTATTGCCTCCTGCTACAAGTGGGGTGTCAGCTGGTAAGCCTCTGGATAGCCTTCCCTCACTGGTGCCGCATGGCATGGTGTGGCTGGCCTCTGGGTGTCCTCCACCTGCCCACTCTTCAATTTATTTTAAGTGGCAGCCATCCCTTCATTTATGAGAAAATTTAATAAAATCAAATTACCGGCCATCGAACGCTCCTTTTATGTAGAATTCAAATTTCTTTGATGCCTTCTTTAGTTGATCTTTGGGTGGGGACCAATAAATAACCTGATATGCTCTTTCCTTTTCTTTAAATGAAAAAGAACACTGATTGGTTAAAGAATAAATGTGCCACAACATATGGATGTTTTATCATGCACTAGCATGATAAAACAAAATAGTTTTACTGCAGTATTTATTTATGGAAGTTTGCATTTTCTAATTTCTGTTGTCATGAGCTCTTCCTATGTAATGAGGATTTCATAGAGTTATGTAGAGATGAATGAAATGGTAAGCTGCTTACTGCACTACCATAAGGACCTGGATTTGACCCAGAGCCCAGATGCTGAAGCAATCATGTCAAATACACCTGTAATCTTATCATCAGGGAGTCAGAAGCAGGAGGATTTTCTACAGACCAGCCAGTCCAGCAGAATGGGTGAGCTCCAGGTTCAAGAAAAGACTTAGCCAAAAATAACTTAGAAAATGGTTAAGGGAGACCCATGGCATCAACCTCTGACCTATACTCATATGCATACATAACTTCCTCTGCATACACACAGAAACACACCCACAAATACATAAATACATACAATCAAAAAGATCTTTTTATACACTACATTATATACTTTGGCCACATTCACTCTACAAACCCTTCCCCACTGTGCCTGTCTCTTGTTTCAATCCTCCAGATAGTCTCACTTTTAATTTCAGGTAAATTTTAAATGTGTGTATACTTACCTATATATACTATATTAGATATAGCATATTTCTGTGTGCTCACCTGTTAATAGACAACTAGAAGGATTTCAAACTTGACTGTTATAAACAGTGGTCCAATATACACCTAAACAAATATCTCTGTGGAATATTGACTTAAAATCTTCTGTTCCCACAGTGAGAGGAACAAGGACTATTTCTAACAGGAACTCAATGACTGGCTCTTTCTCCTCCCCACCCCCCAAGGGAGGAGCAGTCCTGTTAGGCCACAGGGGAGAGCTTTGCAGCCAGTCCTGAAGATACCTGATAAAACAGGATCAGATGAATGGGGAGGAGGTCCCCCCTATCAGTGGACTTGGAAAGGGGCACGGTGGAGATGAGGGAGGGAGGGAGGGACTGGGAGGGAATGAGGGAGCGGGACACGGCTGGGATACAGAGTTAATAAAATGTAACTGATAAGAAAAAAATAAAATTAAAAAAAAGCTTTACGGTTTTATTTGTGTGGAATTTAGCTGTCCATGTCTTCAAAATAAAAGATTAATGATCACCATCAAAAAAAAAAAAAAGAATCTTCTGTCTGTAACCAAAAATTGTATACCTGTGTCATATGATGGTGTATTTTTTTTTTTTTGAGGAAACTACGTTTTCATAGAGGGCATACTAATTTAAATTCCTACCAGTATTATATAAGTGTTCCTTTTTCCTCACATCTTCACCAGTATTTTTATTTATTTTTTAATGATAAATAGTCTCCCTGAGATAATGTGGAATTAATGTGAATAGAGTTTGATTTTGAATTTCCCTGATGGTTGAAGATATTCAATAGCCTTTAATATGTTAATTGGACATTAACACATCATCTTTTGAGAAGTGTCTATTCTTATATTAGTCCATTTATTAATTGGAGTTTATGGTTTATTGGTACGCAATGTTTTCAATTCTTTATATATTCTAGATATTAATCCATACACACACACACACACACACACACACACACACACACACACATATATATATATAGCTAGAAAATGTTTACTATTTTTTTGTACTTGTTGCTTCAGTTAATTGTTTCCTTCACTAAGCAGAAACTGTTGATAGATGGCAACAAATGGGTAAGTCCTGATTTTATAAACTAAGACATGATAGTCTGTGGCTTTTGATTGGAAATTTGAGACTGTGTATATTAATGGTTATTGCTAAAAGGCTTGTGTTTATTTGTCATTTTGTTGTTTTTGTAATATTTGGTATGTCCCTTCATACCAAATATCTTCATTTCCTTGCCTGTTCTGGTGCAATTTATTCTTTCTTCTTGAATGTGTTGTTCTTTCTCTCTATTAAGTATTATTATTTCAAGTGTACCATTTAGTGCTGGATTTGTCTTCGAGAATTTCTATATTGTCATAGGAAGATTTTCTTTCTCTTCTAATTAAGAAAGATATTTTACTGGATATTCTAATCTGAGTTGTCAGTTATTACCATTCGGAGCTTGAAAATATACTGTTTCTTGTCTTTGCTTGTTGAGAAATATGCTCTTTTATGCAAGTTTGTGTTTCTGACAACTTTCAATATTATTTCTTTTCTCTGCTCTTAGGTTTTTAACTATAATATGATACAAGGAAATTTTTTTTCCTTCTCCTGTTTGTCTGGGCTTCTGTGTTCCTCCTGTATCTAGATAACCTTCTCTTTCCCAACAACTGAATTTTTTTTTCTACTATGGTTATATTGGAAATATTCTTGAGGCCACTACTTTCCAGATCCAAAAAAGGTTTTGGTAGAGTCAATGGGTATTTTAAGTTTAGAATCATGTTCTTTGAAAAGGAAGATAGTTTAACTTCTTTCGAGTTTTAATAAAGCTTGTTTAGGTCACCATTTTGGAAGCTGAAAGTACAAGGTTGTCAACTGAGTAACCTCTGATGATGGCCTTCTGTATAGGCCACAACAAAGGACCCAGCATCACATAACAGAGATCATAGTAGAGTCAGAGATCATAGACATGTGTGTGTGTGTGTGTGTGTGTGTGTGTGTGTGTGTGTGTAACAACAGTTAATGAAAAGAGAAGCTGTAAAGGTGGAAGACAGCAAGAAGGATTATATGAGAGATGTCTTAGTCACTGTTCTATTTCTGTTAAGTGATACCATAACCATGGAAACTCTTTTTTTGTTTGTTTGTTTGTCATTTTTTTACATCAAATGCTTTCTTTTATTAATTTCTTTGGTCATTGTGTCTCTTCTCAACAATAGGAAAGTAAAACAGGTATCCTTTTATCTCTTATTTATTATATAATCAGATTTTTCATAAGTTGAACTAAAATTTTTATTGATTTACATAATGGCTTTTTTTTTTTTACCAAAATTACATAGTTTTTCCCCCCCACAGGTATCAAGTATATGTTGTACCCTTTAGAAGCCATTATTCAAACATAACTTTGTGGCTTTTATACTAATTTTTTCTTATCAGTTACATTTTATTAACTCTGTATCCCAGCCCTGTCCCACTCCCTCATTCCCTCCCAATCCCACCCTTCCTCCCTCATCTCCACCCTGCCCCTTTCCAAGTCCACTGATAGGGGGGGACCTCCTCCCCATTCATCTGATCCTGTTTTATCAGGTATCTTCAGGACTGGCTGTGAAGCCCTCCTTTGTGGCTTAACAGGACTGCTCCTCCCTTGGGGGGTCGGGAGATCAAAGAGCCAGTCATTGAGTTCCTGTTAGAAATAGTCCTTATTCCCCTCACTATGGGAAACCAATTGGTTACTGAGCTACCACAGGCTACATCTGAGCGGAGGTTCTAGGTTATGTCCATACATGGTCCTTGGTTGAATGTCAGTCTCAGAAAAGACCCTATACCCAGATATATTTGGTCCTTGTGGAGCTCCTATCCTTTCCCCATCATACTAACTCCCCTTCTTTCTTATGATTCCCTGTACTCTGCCAAAGGTTTGGTCATGAGTCATTGTATCTGCTTTGAAAACACTGCTAGTTAGAGTCTTTCAGATGCGCTCAGTAGACTCCTGTCATACGTTCAATGCACATCCCATCTGTCTTTCTAAACGAGGATTGATCATCTTACCCCATGTCCGCTCTCTTGATTATCTTTTTTAGGTGTATAGATTTCATTATGTTTATCTTATCTTATAGGTCTATATAAGTGAGTATATATCGTGTTTGTCTTTCTCCTTCTGGGATATTTCACTCAGATTGATCTTTTCTAGATCTCACCATTTGCCTGCAAATTTCATGATTTCCTCCTTTTTGATTGCTGAGTAGTATTCCATTGTGTAAAAATACCACAATTTCTGTACCCATTCCTCCGTTGATGGACATCTGGGTTGTTTTCAGGTTCTGGCTATTACAAATAAAGCTGCTATAAACATGGTTGAGCAAATATCCCTTTTGTGTACTTGAGCAAACTTTGGGTAAATACCTAGCAGT